TTAAAGAGTCCAAGTAACAACTGGCCATGCCCACAGGATTTCTAAATGATTTTGAACAGCCAGGCATTCATTAAAGGGAAATTATCCAGCTCTTTGTATTTGATCTGATCATGACATTCTGGAAAACCACAAATCTCTATGAGCGTTTTACATACCTTACCTCCTCATCTTCACTACATCCTGTGTCTGAAACTGTTCCCATCTAACAGGAAGGAAAGACATTCCAAAGTCCTCCTTCCTGGCCCTACATGATTGGTTCCATCCAGCGCTCCAGCTGTTTCCTCACCTTGCAGATAAGTTGGCACCTTCAGATGCCCAAGCTGCACACCTGAACCCGAACTCTCTGTGGATGGGTTTCTCCTTGGGAGAAAATGAGCCCTGAGCCCCATTAATTTGCTCAGGATAAACGGAGGCAGCACCTAGAGCAGGCTCTGACACTTAGAATAGTGCCTTGCCAACTCAAGTGTCATGCGATGGGTTAGTGGCACTCAGGTCAGAGTTTAGCCTGGGCATCAGGGGCACAGCACAGAACCTCTCCTGGCTCCAGGGCCACAGTCAGCCTGGCAGATAGTGGACGAGTGTTGCCGGTGGTACCAGCAAACTCCCTCGTCTGCCCTCAGTCACAGCCCCGGGAGCCCCGGGTTTCTTCCTCACCTGGCTTCTCAGGAGCCCCGGCACTGCAGCACCAAGGCTGCACTCGGACCCAAGCCCAGACACCCCAAAAAGTCCCAGGTGTGAGGACCCCAACTGTGCAGCTCAGCCTGCTTGGCCAGCTGGGGGAGCCTGCATAGAGATGGGCCGGCGCTCTGGCACTTAGGGAAAGGGAGAGATTGAAAGCAAATTAGATCCAGTCCAGACTAAAAAGAAAAAAGCTAAAAATGAGAGGAAGTCCCCCCGAGCAGCCAAAGCTCGCCATACTTGTCCAAACACTGCTGGGTCTTATTCTGACTTAACCTTCCCCTCGCCCTCGTCCCCTTCATCACTGTCAGATCTACACTCTCCCGGGTGTCCAGTCCCTGCGGCCCTGCACTTGCTCAGTAGCACCCCCAGAACTCGGAGTGGCCTCCCCCAGGAGGTGAGGCTCTGCAGGAGGAGCCCTGTGTTGGCTGCAGCCACACTTCCACTCAGTGATTCTTTAAATCTCCAGAAAAACAGGAGTTCGGAAAGTTTTACTAATGATACAAACTAATAGAATAAAAGATGAAACACAGGGGGTACTCTTTTGCCCCCGTCTGATGCCTATGTCAGAAGCTTTCTCTATCTCCTTTATACTTTAATAAAACTTTATTACACAAAAGCTCTGAGCGATCCAGCCTTGTCTCTGTCCCCGGATTGAATTCATCTCCTCCGGAAGCCAAGAATCCCGCATCTCATCGTTCAGCAACAACCTTTCATCTTGGGGGCTCGTCCAGGATCCTTCAGGACAAGATGGGCCTGATAATCTATGTGAGCCTACTTCTGCTGACTCCAGAAATCCTGAGTATGCCATTTGATCCTCACGACAATGCCTTCCTGTCCTGGGCTCACTCCTATGCTGCATTCCACAGTCTAACTGCTGGGTCTGTGGACCACTCCCTTCTTCATCCGTGAAAGGCGTCCCATGGTGGACATCTCTACTTCAAGGAAAGGACTTTCTCCAAGTCTGCAAATACCTTCAACAATCACATGTGATGCCTCTTCTTAAACTGATGACATCTAACAACCTTAAGATAGACTGATGTAACTATGGACATAATGTGACTTTTGATTTTAACTTGGTTTAATGACTATTTTGCCTTACATCTATAACTGTATAATGGGGTTTTCTAACCGTCTAAAAGCTTTTAATTTACAAATAGTTGTCCTAGCTCCTATGAGTGCCACAGCCTCCTCCAACTATTACTTGGAGCCCCTGGATCAGACATCCTCAGTATGAGGATTAGGAGAATATGGTGCCTCACCAGTTTAGGGACAACGCCCCTTGTCAGCTCGGAAGCAGTTATGGAATGAGAATGACGCCCCTTTTCCCTAGGCAACATAATTCTCCTAAAAGAAAAGGGGGGAATGAGAGTCATTTCCTAGGCAGGTTGATAAGAAGTCTAGGGGTCCCCAAGGAGAGAGAGGTCTGGGATATTCAAGGAGGAAGAAAGGACAAACTTTTTTACTTTTTTTCCTCTACATTCCTTAGGATTACATAACAATAATGTATCCTGCCTGAGGACAGTCTTTGGATTAAACCCTCTGGCTAATTCTGTTATCTTAAAACGTAAATTATGGGAGTAGGTCTGGTCTTTACAAGGATGTATCCTGACTGAGGACAACCTTTGGATTAAACCTTCTGGCCAACTCTGTTATCTTAAAATGTAAATTATGGGAGTAGGTCTGGTGAGGTCTTTACAACCTCCAGATATTCTTTGGATTCACTGGAGAGTATATAACTCCATTGCTAACACTAGCAAACGGGGTACTCTTTTGCCCCCTTCTGATGCCTATGTCAGAAGCTTTCTCTATCTCCTTTATACTTTAATAAAACTTTATTACACACACACACACACACAAAAAGATGAAACACAGAGACCTCTGTTTGGCTTGAGAATCGAGCCCTGGATTGGGAAGATCCCCTGGAGAAGGGAATGGCAACTCACTCCAGTATTCTCGCAGGAGAATTCCATGGCCAGAGGGGCCTGGCGGGCTACAGTTCAGGGGGTGGCAGAGAGTTGGACACAACTGAGTGACTAACAACAACACACAAGAACAAAAACCTAATTTGAGGTCATCACCTGGAGGTAGGAAGAGGGTCACTGGCACTGAATTATAACATGTTGCTGCCTTAAAATGGAAGGATTCTTGTTACTGACCTAGATTTTTGTTATTGCATTCCAGTAAACATTTAGCCTTTATCTAGACTTGGATATCAAAGACCAGTTTGAACGTCCTGATTTAATCTGACTAGAAACCGGGACAAGGCCTACAGTGACTTTGTCCACAGAAAAGCAAGCCAAACTTACTCGGCCAATACAAATAAGATGCCAGAGGGACTTTTATCAGGTATTTGAATAATTACCTAAAGAAATAGATGCTTTCATAATTTAAAAAAAAAAACCAGTTGATTAAAAAAATTTTTAAAGATACTAAAACTGACATGGGGTTGCAAAGAGTCAGATACAACTAAGCGACTGAACAACAAACCTTTAAATTTGGGTCCTTCCTTTGTTCAAACTAAATCTCAATAAATTATTATATGTTTATCCCCAAAGGTATTGAATGTATAACCCTTATCTCAACAGTGAGTTTTTCTTAAGGAAAAAAAAAAAAATCGCATTCTCTTGTAACTTGCATCAGTTCAAACTGTGGCAAGATCTCAACTGGTAAGTACCCCTGGGCTGAGTAGGTGAGCTTTGTCCCTCGTTCATACTGGTAGATTCTTTTCCCTCGCAAGCAAACACTTTGACAGGTGTATACATAGTGAACTTATTCATTATTATGCAGCCTACAAAGGAGGACTTGAAAAAAACCACTGACTCAGATAGGCAGGTTGCCAGAGCTGGACAGTGCTCAAGCAGTACTGGGCCCAACACCCACAGTGTGCAGACACAGAGGGAAATTGGGACCTCTTCTTGGGGATGAATTCAGATGATTTCTTCATTCAGACAAGAAAGGGTGAGTAGAACCTGAAAACTGCTTCTAGTCTGTAAAGTGTCCAACCTCAAAAGGCAAAATACACCTTTAAATGACTATTGTACTATAATCATTCCTGCATTTCTGATGTTTTGTAAAGACAAACTAACAAAACTCTTAAACTTAAATAGACAAGACATTACAAAGACTAGTTATGGAAAGCAGATGTTTACAAATAGCCATATATTCTGTCTGCCCATCACTTAGGAGATGGAAAGCCTACAGTTCAAGTACGATCTACTTTAAGCAAATGCAAACTATGCAATTACAGAGCAGCTAAACGGTTATTCACATTACAAAATGGTTCTTCAGAGCATCTCTCTGCATAGCATTGTCACTTCACATTTAAAATATAACTTATTTAAACATTTAATTTATACACAACTTCAGGAAGTGCGCACTGGGGTAAAATAAGCGGGGAGGAAAGATGGAAGAAGGAAGAAAGTCACACCTCCATTCCATGACTCTGTCTGGGGCTGTCGAGTTCCCAAACAGTAGATGTAAGACTGGAAGAAGCATGTGTGCCAACAATAATCACAGTGACTTTTTTTTTTTTCCACAGTGACATTTAAAAAATAATAATTATTCTCAATCTGCCTCTAATGATGAATTTTGTAGAAAGGTAGCCAAAACCTCTCAGACACAGAAACTAGCATGAGGCTCTAAGTATATCAAATCTGGGACACATAAGATACGATGGATATGGCACATCCATCCATCTAATATCAGTATAAGGATATGCCACCCTGGACATAGGAAATTCATCTGGACAGAGGCTGGAATTTCCTCTTACAACACTGTTTCAGTTAAAGCAGATCTCTGTTGCAAGAGAAAATGTGGCAACCAATAGACCATCTGCCAGGTTCAAAGAGCAGGAAAGAATTTGGTCTCAACAAGCCCAGGATGCCTGGCTCCAAGCACTGGGGTTGAGGGGACAGAAAGAGCCCCTGCCAGCTGGCTCGGGGGCTGACCTGGGGGCAACCCCGGAGGGAGGCCCTCCAGCTTCCCCACCATCCACTTGTCTCCCAGGGCACAGATAAGCCAGGCTGAGGCTGAGACTGGCACTACCAGTGTGCGTTTTGTAAATGGCTAAGCAACAGAGGCAGGTAACACAAAAATGTGGAGGTTTTGAGAATACATCAAAATCCATACTACGAGGTTCAGCTGTCCCCGATCTACTACCAAAAAAGGACCAGGGGAGAGAGGGAAAGAAGAGTGTGCGAGATGAAGAGAAGGAAAAGGAGAAAGAGAAAGAACCTGGGGTGGGGCAGGAGGGAGATAGGGGAGAGAAGATGAACCACGTTCAGACGCTGCTTGTTCCCAGGGAATTATATTGTAGCAGCTCAAAGGAGTCTGTGAGTGGAAATGGGAATAACAACTCTGCTCACTGTGAGAGACGGCAAGAGAGGTCTTGAGAACACTTTAGTCTCCAACATTTGGGGCCTGTTTTCCTGCTTGGTCTCTGTGAGGACGCGCTTTGGGGTTTTCGTGGGAGGTCTGGGCTCCCTGGCTTTGAGTCTGGTTTTGCAGTTCCTCGCTCCTTGTTTCTGCAAAAGCTGGAAGGTGGCAAGATAGCAGGGAGGGCACACCAGGTTTTTCTCAGGCAGGAGGGACCAGCGCAGGCAGCAGGGCTCAGGCTCAGCCAGCAGGGGCGTCTGGGCCGCCAGGCTGAGGAAAGGCTGCGTCTCCTTGACTTTGTGGGGCCTGGCCAGCTCAGTGGGTTGCTTTTCACCTGCCCGGTCAACTGCTTTCACTCCAGAGGCATAAGCCACACACTCATCCTTTTCCACACTTAGCCCCTTCTCTTCTGGCCGCAAGAAAAAGTTCTTAGTCTTCCTACCCAGAATATCCAAGCCATTTGCAGGCGAAGATTTCAAGGGAGGGAGGACTAAAAGGGCTTTGGAAGTCAGGGAGTCTGAGGCAGCGAGAATTCTGTCAGTGCCTCTCCAGGGCCTTCTGGGGTCCTTGCCCCTAACAGTCTCTGGGGTGGCCCAGTCTTCCAAGCACCAAATGAACTCTTTTATTTGCAGACTTTTCTTCTCTCCCTGACTGTAGGTGGGAAAGCAGATCTTATTAACTTCCCTAGAGGCCATAGTGGGGCCTGGGGGGGTGTCCGGGGTCTGGGAGAGGCTGCCTCCATCCTTCTCCAGGCCTGCCTCGGCCGGAGCTGGAGCTGAAGCCCCAGACTCCAACTTCCCCGCCTCCAACTGAAGCCTGGCCTCCAGGCTCCCATGGGGGAGATTGACACAGAGTAAGCAGCTGCTGGCACTTTCTCCCACCCTCGCCTTCTTAAGCTTCTTCCTGGGCCAGATGCAGGCAGTTGGAGAAATCTGTCCCCAGCCTCGGACCTGCAGATAAAGCAGTGTGTTACTCTCAGCCTAGCTGCCCCCACTGTGGCCCATCCCCATTTTGACTCTATTTGAATCAATATTTTTCTTCAGATTGACTTAATTTATTTTAGTTTTAACTTTTCATGCTTAGTTTAGCCTCCTACTACGCCACAGTATTTGTAATAGTATTTTTATTTATTTTTTTAATAGTATTTTTAAACACTAAAATACTAAGCGATAGTATCTATCAGCACACTGACGTGCTGACTATATATATTTTTTAGATGTGTATTAAAATAAATTCAGAACTATTAAAATAAAATCAAAACCATACTTGTCCTGCCTGCCAGGCTTTCTTGTACTGCAGGCTTTCTGCGCTTGCCTGCACCAAGGAAGGCTGTGTGAGGATATAACCAAGAATATGGCTCCCACCAAGAACCCGACCATGTTGGCACCCAGATCTCGAACTTTCCTCCCAAACTGTAAGAAATAAATGTCTGCTGCTGAAGCTGCCCAGCTTACGGTATTCTCTTATAGCAGCCCGAACTGAGACAGGGCTGGAGCATCTCCTGTGGTGGAAGCCACCCCGGGCATTCTACAGTGTGGAGCAGCACCCTGGCCTCAACCCCAATACATCTAGAAACAACCCTCTCCCCTCCCCGCCCTAGCTGTGCCAAGCAATCAGACCAATTCCCTTACAGTTCTAAATTTAGAACTGTATTTCATTATTGATTCTAAGAATAGTTAAGAATAAACCACCGGGTTCTGTGTAGAACCACCAGGATAGAAATCTCTGGTCTCCTGGGGAGTTAAGTAGCAGGAGTTAAGTTAGGTAGTTTGAGTTAAGGGAACTGGGTTCTGGAGTCCAGAAAAGCTCAGTTCAAGCTCCTGCCTTGACCACCGCCTGGGAGATTTTGACACATTTCATTTTTGGTGCTTTGGTTTCCTTTTCCAAAAAGTGAGGCTATTCATAACACCTGAGAGGGTGAATGAACTGATGTATGTTAAGCATTTAGTACTGTGCTTGCCCATACAGAATGGTCATAAATACTCAGAAGGTACTGCTATTATCATCATTAATATTCTACCTCTGTTTCAGAGGTTTCTATGTTTCATTGCTTACACATTTTTTTGCTTTTTGCAACAGTAACTATTTCTGAAAATAGTAAAAGGTTTGTGTCAAAACCCTGACATGCACAAGACCTAACTCAAGAAAATACTCACCGCTTCTTCCCATCCAGTCCCAATGACAAACTCTTTGGCTTTTTTATCCTGTTCAAGTGTAACGTCACTGACACTGAGAAGACAACAAACATGATTCTTTTCACTTCTTCCATCTGGACAAGTATAGATTAATTCAGTTTCTTCTGTGCTTTGAATTTCATAATTTTCACTATTTTCTAATTCAGTCTCATTTTTGTGACCGAAATCCATTACTGTGATGGTTGCTTAAAGTCTTTAACATCTTCTTCCTGTGGTTTAAAATGCAAATGGAACTTAGCTTTTAATACTGCTTTGTTTCTTTTAAAAAACCAATTCCGTAACTCAGGTGAAACGTTGTCAAGACATGTTCAGGAACAGACAGAAGAAATATTATGAAACCATCCATTGCCAACTATTGACATTATAAAATACAAGGCTAATTTCAAAGACTTATGGATTTAGGACTTCCCTGGAGCTTTCACTGCAGGGGGTGTGGGTTCTATCCCTGATCAGGGAACTAAGATCCTGTATGCTGAATAGTGTGGCAAAAAACAAATAAAACACCTGGATTTATTTAAAAGAAAAAAGATTCATTGTCCATTCTTATCTTCCAAACTCATGTAAGAGATGAAAAAGCAAAAATATGCAAAAAGCAATCAAAGGTCAACTGAAAGGGTGGCTATGTGATTTCTTACCAATTACATGCAGTTTTCCTTCTATTTGGAATGCAAAAATCTGCAGTGGTATAATACTCATTTTCTGATGGTAAACTTATGCCTTGTGTATAGATTTGAAGTAAATCAGAGCTCATGTTCTTCCACTTCTTGACTTCCACAGAGCTTTACAATCTGATTTGGTTTAAGAGTCACTGGTATAAAACATACATCAAAATCCATATGTTTCCAAGAAAATCACATCAAGGAAACACAACGATCACAGTGAAAATGCTCCCATGGGAAAATGCATTTACAGATGCAACTAGAAAATTGGATTTGGAGTACAAAGCAGGAAGGCACACACATGTATGCCAGAAGATATTAAATTCTATGACATACGCTATTGAAGTGGCTAGAACAAAAAAATGTACAAAGAAGAAAATGTTGACTGAGGTCCAAGCCCCAAAAGTAGATGTCTGCATAAACAAGAATAAATCCAAAGAAAAGCTGATGCTTTTCAAGATGAAAAGGCCAAAGGAACTTAAGATATTTAGAAATGAAATAAAGAAGATGAATGAAAATTAAAAAAAAAAGATGAGTGAGAGTCTAAGAAACAGAGCCTATGGGAAATTCAGTGTGATACAGAAAATATCTTTTCTAGCAGCATGTAAACTAAACAGCGGTGGAAGAAAATGATCAGCAAAAACCCTGTTAGTAGGGGCCTTCCCCAGTGGTCCAGTGGCTAAGACTCTGCACTCCCAATGCAGGGAGCCTGGGTTCAATCCCTGGTCAGGGAATTGGATCCTGCATGCTGTAACTAAGACCTGACACAGCCAAAAAAAAAAAAAAAAGCCTGTAAACTAGCTTATTATTTTACCAATTGAACATAAGCCATTATGATTTGCTTCAAAATAATCCTGCAAGGAGGTGGGGGTGGTTGGTTGTGGTTAGAGAGAGAATGAGGAAATTTAAAAAGCCACAAATTCTGTTTGTTGTAGAAGGGTATGAGGACATGGAGGTTAACTGCACTATTCACTCTACTTTTGGGTCACTGTGAAATTTTCCATAATAAAATGTTTTTTTTTTTTTTAAGCCATCATGTTAACAGAATGGTTTAAGAAATAAAACATGGGATAACAGTGGAGGTGAGCAAACCATGAATTTTGATCTTAAGCAAACTGAATAAATGTATCAAAGAACAGATTACACGGTTTGGATAATTTTAACTGGGGTAAAGACCTTGAACCAGGACTTAAAGAGAAGAGATGTACCAAAAGGCAGAGAAAAAAATCAGAAAAAAATTGGAGAATATAGTTTACAAAAATGATTTGGAAAAGTGAAAGTGAAAGTCGCCTAGTTGTGTCCGACTCTTTGTGACCCCATGGGCTATACAGTCCATGGAATTCTCTGGGCCAGAATACTGAAGTGGATAGCCTTTCTCTTCTCCAAGGGATCTTCCCAACCCAGTGATTGAACCCAGGTCTCCCACATTGCAGGCAGATTCTTTACCAGCTGAACCACAGGGGAAGATTTGGAGACACTCCATAAATAACTGGCCAATTACTGTAAGTAAAAGGACTTAAGGCCTTCTCATTGAAATCACTGAATACAAAAGAAGGCGTCGGAAACGCAGGAGGAAAAGAAAAAACACAGACATTACCTTTAGGATCTCTGACCCCACGTTGTGATGATGTCATTTGTTAATGAACTGATAAGTACAGAGACTACCAAATGCCTCTTTGTTAGACATCTGGCAAACTCAATGGAGCTTTGACACCCTAACCAATCTGTAACTTAGAATATGAGCTGCCCTGCTCCTGAAAGGAACAAAGACTTCATTACCACTAGTCAGTGGCAAAGACACACCAATATTACAGCAGAGTCTAGCAAAAGGACATTATCTTCTGTTGCTACTCTCACAGATATGTTGTATAAAAGTTAAAATGAGGACCAGTTTTATCAAATTTTGGTTTGGTTTTGTTTTTAATGGATTATGTTTTTGGTGTCATGTCTAAGAACACTTTGCCTAATATGCAGATGATACCACCCTTATGGCAGAAAGTGAAGAACTAAAAAGCCTCTTGATGAAAGTGAAAGAGGAGAGTGAAAAAGTTGGCTTAAAGCTGAACATTCAGAAAACTAAGATCATGGCATCTGGTCCCATCACTTCATGGCAAATAGATGGGGAAACAGTGGAAACAGTGGCTGACTTTATTTTTTGGGGCTCCAAAATCACTGCAGATGGTGACTGCAGTCATGAAATTAAAAGATGCTTACTCCTTGGAAGGAAAGTTATAACCAACCTAGACAGCATATTAAAAAGCAGAGACATTACCTGGCCAACAAAGATCCATCTAGTCAAGGCAATGGTTTCTCCAGTAGTCATGTATGGATGTGAGAGTTGGACTATAAAGAAAGCTGAGCGCCAAAGAATTAATGCTTTTGAACTGTGGTGTTGGAGAAGATTCTTGAAAGTCCCTTGGACTGCAAGGAGATCCAACCAGTCCATCCTAAAGGAGATCAGTCCTGAGTGTTCATCGGAAGGACTGATGTTGAAGCTAAAACGCCAACACTTTGGCCACCTGATGTGAAGAACTGACTCATTTGAAAAGACCCTGATCCTGGGAAAGATTAAAGGCAGGAGGAGAAGGGGACGACAGAGGATGAGATGGTTGGATGGCATCACCTACTCAATGGATATGAGTTTGGGTGAACTCCAGGAGTTGATCATGGGCAGGGAAAGCCTGGCATGCTGCAGCCCGTGGGGTCGCAAAGAGTCGGACACGACTGAGCGACTGAACTGATGTTTATTTGGGTATATCTTAGAACACCCTATTCTGGCCCATTGACCTGTGTCTCTTCATTCACCAATATCATAATGATTCCTATAGTTTATAGTAATTTTTAAAACTGGGTAATGTGATTTCTCCATTTTATTCTTCATTTTCATAATTGTTTTACCTATTATAGTTCCTTTTACATTTCCTAATAAATTTTAAAACCAGCTTGTTAATATCTATAATAAATCCTGCTCCAGATTCGTATCTTGATATTCAACAGTTACTCATCCAACTTCTTTGAGATTGTCTATCTATTCTTGGACCTTGTATTTTGTATTTTCATAAATGTTTCTGAATCTAGAAAATTGAAAACAGTCAAGAAAATAATTATAATGTTTTAGTTCTATCTTCAGTTGCTAAGTCGTGTCTGACTCTTTGCGACCCCATGGACTGCAGCACGCCAGGCTTCTCCATCCTCCACTATCTCCTGGAGTTTGCTCAAACTCATGTCTATTGAGTCAGTAATACCATCCAACCATTTCTTCCTCTGTCCCCAAATCTAGGACTTTTTCATTCCCAGAGTCCCTGGACTCTATTTTCAAAGACCACAAATGTTCTTATTCTAGGTAGTGACATTTATAATATACGTAAAGGTCATTTGCTTCGTACATCCCCTCTCATGATACCGGATCAGTGTGGTACCAAGATGCTACTACTGGTCACCAAAATCTTGCTTCCTTTTCCTTTTGGAGATAGAGAAGTATCATCTACATTTCTTCTTGAAGTTAAGCAGTGCCTTGTGACTTATTTCAGCTAATAACGGGACTGAAATCATATGAGTCACTTCTAAAAGCCAGTGATTGCCCACCTTTGCCATCATATTTTGCCATCACAGTTGGCAAAAGAGTCAGACACAACTTAGCACCTAAACAACAACAACAACAGTAATACACACACTTGGGCACAGGGGCTTCAGAAACTGCAGCACAAGGGCTCAGCAGTTGTGGTTTGCAGGCTTTAGAGCTCAGGCTCAGGAATTGTGGTGCATGGGCTTAGTTGCTCTGCGGCTTGTGGAATCTCCCTGGACCAGGGATCAAACCCCTGTCTCTTGTATTGGCAGGTGGATTCTTATTCACTGCAACACCAGGTAAGTCCCAAGGACCATTCTTCAAAAGACTAAGAGTATACTTGAGTCAATTCAAAGACAAAATTCTCATTAAATGCAGGCTTAATAGTGTATAATTTATGTTCACTGAAACTGGGTAAAAGAAAAAAAAACAAAAACTTCTGCAGTAATTTTTCTACAATATTCCTAAAATATAACGTACTAAATTAAATTCTGCAAATCCTCCCTCCACAAGGTTTCCCATCCTAATCCCTGGGACTATTCCATGAATAAGTTATGTTACACGGCAAAAGGGATTTTACAGATGTAATTATGGGTACCAATCGGTTGACCTGATGACAGGGAAACAATCTTGGTTTACTGGGATGGGCCTAATCTAATGATGTGCTGTGCTTAGTCACTCAGTCATGTCCAACTCTGCAACTCCATGGACTGTAGCCCACCAGGCTCTTCTGTCCATGGGGATTCCCCAGGCAAGGATACTGGAGTGGGTTGTCATGCCCTCCTTCAGGAAATCTAATGATATGTGTCCTTTAAAAGCAGAGTTTTCTCTGGCTAGCAGCAGGAGCAGCAGAAGTCAGAGATTTAAAGCATGAGAGGAACTTGAGACATCTTAGTGACTTTGAAGAACGCTGACACTCTTTCTTTTCACCATTATCTTTGCCACAT